CCCTGATCCCTATCCACCCCCCGCCCCCTGACAGACCCCGGGACTCCCATGCCCCATCCAACCCCTGCTGCTCCCTGACTGCCCCCTCCAGAGACCCCCCACCCCTAACCACCCCCCCCAGGATCCCACCCCCTATCCAACCCACCCTGTTCCCTGTCTGCCCCCACCCCTTATCTAACTCCCCTGGCCCCGGACCCCTTACCATGAGATGAGGCTCCTAGCCTCCACACGGAGCCAAACACTGCCCCGTGGGAGTGCACAGCCCCAGCTCCCAGAGCGCTGTGCGCGTGGTGGCATGGCTCCAGGGGACGGGGGAGCGTGTCTGCCTCCCCGTGGAGCCAAACACTGGCCCGCGGGAGCGCGCAGCCCCAGCCCCCAGAGCGCTGCGCGTGTGGCGGCATGGCTCCAGGGGAGGGGGGAAGGCAGGGAACGGGCCAGCGGCTTGCTGTGTTTGGCTGGGCGCTCCGGCCTGGGAGCGCAGACCCTGCGGCTTGCCGCACCGGGAGCCATTTGCCCACCCCTGCATTAGGGTGTGCCTGGGCACACCCGGCACACTCTGTGCGCACGCCTATGATTGCCAAAGACCTGGTGGACTTCCTAATGTAAGCTAAACAAGAAGTCCCCCCCGGCTGAGAAACATGGCTAAAGGGTACCTTTGGTCAAGCCCACCTTTGAGATAGGTTTGTTCTGAATAGAAGGAGCTCCCAGAGAGCCTGAACAATGAAAACCTCTCCAGACAAAGAATTCTGAGAGGAACCCTGATTAACTGGGGCAATGAGATGTTAAAAGCTCTCCAGGTAGAGAGGACTGGGAGAGAAACCCTGATAGACAAGGGCAGAGACTACCATGAATAGCTCTCCAGGTAGAAAGGCCTGAGAGGGAACCCTGCTAAAAAGGGGACAAGAATTATAAAAGCTCTCCAGGTAGAAAGGCCTGGGAGAGAAGTATTCTGAGGAAGCAGGGCAAAATTAATAGGTGTGTTGCAGAGCTACTTAAGGAAGGAGCCCTAATTGGAAAATCTCTCCAGGTAAGAGAGGTCTGGGAGGGAACCCTGACCAAAAGAGGCAAAGATTATAAAAGCTCTCCAGGTAGATAGGCCTGGGGGAGAAGATCTTGAGCAATCAGGGCAGAAAGTGAATAACTCTCCAGATAGAAAGGCCTAAGAGAGAAGACACAGATCCATTGGGGTGAGAAACTGCCAAATCTTTCCAGGCAGAGAGGCCTGGCAGGGAAACCCTGAGAAACCAGGGCAAGGACTACTAAAGCTCCCTGTTTTTCCCCACTGTGTAAGAGGCCAGGGAGGGAGAACCCTAACAAACAGGGGCACAGACAAAGGAACTCTCCAGACTATTCCCAACAACTGTTTGGTATTCCTCTTCGTACCCTTGTTTTGCATCAAAAATAGTTGCAAACAAATATAAAAGCTGTCTGTCTATGGATTTTATACTGCTACCCATCATTGCAATAACTGAGCATTTTCTGCAAAGCTATGTTTTTCATTACAAAAAACTTCGTTTTCCCCTTTTGCTTTTGACCATGTGTCTTACTTTGGAATTACCTACTATGCATAAAGTAATGAGTCTTTTTGCTTTTATTTTCCTGAACTAAGATGAAGCAGTATTCTAAAGCAAAAGTAAATGTGGTTGGTTTTCATACATTGTACTTCAGTCATTTTCTTTCCAAGTTATATTTATATTTTATTTTTTCCAATAGATTTCAAAGAGGTTAATGGACAAGAAATTCAAAGAGCAGATCACTGTTGCATTACAAAAGCTAGAGCAGTATGGTGGAAAGGTGAGTTGAACAGATTATTCTCTGCATTTTACATTTTGTTAGAAAATATAAAAACATACTTGAATTTAAATCATGTCAAGAAAACTTTTGAGTTCAAGTCTCTGAATCCTTCAGATTAGAGCTTTGATCCTGCAAACACTTATATATGTGCTCAACTCTACATGCTGTGACTACTCTATGTGTAAAATTAAGCATATGTGTAGGTTTTGCAGGTTTGGGGCCTAGTGGTGTTGTGTACTGATTCATAATGTGAAAATAGCTTTATTTTCCTGTATATGAATGGTGACCTAGAAAAGAAATAGAATCTACTTCATGTAATACATAGTCACTTATAGCCTTTTATTTTACATTTCTATAGAGAATACTTTATTTTAAATTATTGTCATACATTCCCATACTAATTTCTTGTGCTCCTTTGTAAGAAACGTAGGCGCACACCTTAACATGACATTCCAAGAATCCACACCTACATAGGGATCCATACAGCAGGCCTCTTACTCCCACACTAAGTCCCATTCAATGGGACTCCATTGAGAAGTAAGTGCCTGTCCACACAGATGCCCTTTGCAAGATAAGTGTCTAAAACATTAAACTGTTTCTGCTAGGAGGTGTGTGCATACTTACTGGTGAGATGGAACATTTGCTATTCTTTTCCTCCCTAGACACCAGAAGAGCTCTATAGTTCTACTTCCAGGGCTTGAAATTTGTGAGGAAAAAAGTTTATCTACTGCAGTGACATGTAATGTTTTTAAAATACTGGCTTTGTTAGTTAACCTAAAGTATTTAAATGTCCGACAGTAAGCATCAGTTTGATCCAAGTTCCATTTCTATTAACATTTTGTCTTCCCAAACAAACAGGATTTTTTCCAAAGCAATAATAAAACAATTACTAAGAAATACTAAAATTTTGTATATAAAACGTAAGAGATATTGCATATATCTGATACATTTTTGTATTCTACTTTCTGATTTCCACTTCTTCTTTTGTCCTGTTTTCTACCCTTTCTTCCTGTCCCCTTTTCTTAAGAGAAATTCTCTTTACCAACCATTATTGCACCCTTCTTTAAGTTCTCTCACTCCTCCCTTGTTGTCTTTAAATTATCTCTCCTAACTCTTATCGCGGATTAATTCTGCCTTTGTCAAACACACGGCTTCTATTGATTTAATTGAGAATTACATTTGTAAGAAGGCTTTCGAATTGGACATTTGATTTTCTTTCATTCTTTTCTCTCCCCCCCCACCCCTTCTTGGGTACTCGCATCAAATATTGAAGAGGAAAATAATGATGCCCTGTAAACGGTATTACTTAAAAACAATTTTCCCAGCAGGACACGTGATCTATGGAATTTTTAAACCCTGTATGTTTTTTCTGTGTTTTTGAGCGCCTTTAAAAAAAAAAAAAAAAAGATTTATTAGAGTGAGAGCACCAAGAACTTAGCGAAGTTAATAGATAACCCACAAGTCAGTGGTACATAAAACCTACCCTCCTGTAGTTCTCCCATCTATTTTCTTCTGTTATTTTATCAGTTCTTTGCATGTTTTTTTTAAGTTATTTGTCTCTGTTACTTTTCCTATGAGAGAGAGATATGATCTCTCTCAAAATATTTAATGTTTTTTTTTGTCTTCAACTCTCTTTTGATAGTTTAGTTTGTATGATGGGTGTTTAGATATGTATAATTTTAAGGAAATGTTATAACTCAGATACTTCCCTTAGTTGCCTTCAGAACTAAGTGCTTCATACTGTGTAAACTTCATTTTTATCAACAGGAGAGTGTTGCTATCATCAAATCTAAAATTCCAACCTATTGTTCCATCTCCTCTTGAACGAGAGACCCATCTAGTCATTTACACTGCATGGTGTGGTTGTGGGCGTCAGAAGCTGACTGTGGATGCTGTTGGAATTTCCTTTTGGTACAATTTATTCTAATAAAACTAACCACAAACATTCTGTAAGCTGGTTTGGGAGAAAAATGAAGATTAAGTGAATTGTGTCCATAATATCTTGTAATTATGGCAAACAGTTATATCATTTTTATTATATAAATCTGTTTGTGTATCCAGTCTTATGTTTACAGTTACAGTCAATTATTGGTTATCTACCATTAATTGTTTCAGCTGTAAACAAAGTAAACGTTAATTCATTTTTGCTGTACATTCCTATTTCCTTAAATAATTCTGCCACACTTACTGTGTTTATCAAATGTTACATAAAAGGTAGAATTTGATTGTAATTATTAATTAAGCAGTAACTAACTCCCTGCTAAAGTGCATATACATATTTATTTTACATAGGTAAAACTTGCAATGATTTCTTTACATTTTCATCTCTGTAACACTCATCATGGGAGTTTTCTGTTACAAAAGAACTGATTTAAAACTAGTTGTACAGTGTTGCTCTAGTAGTGTAAATAGTGTAAAATAATCAGGTGTTGATATTGGAATACTGTTTTTCATATTCCATCCCAGTAACCCTTTATTTTGAAAACTGTCACTTTGGGAACTTAAATCTTAGCACAGTACTGAATTAACAGTTTAATACTTAATTCAGATGCGTGTATTGAAACAGTAAATCCATTTGGTTAAAGAAATGCCTGTAGTCTCGTATTTTTTCAAAAAACAAAAACATTCTGCTTGTTTTTCTTTCTTGTATTTTATTTTTATATATATAATTTTTTTTATTTTTTACAAAATGTGCACATTTAGTTTACGCAAACACACTACAGCAAATTTCAGGTGTACATGTATTGTACTACTCTTATTCCTACACTGGTGATAGCAGAGCAGCCTTCAACATTCTATCTCTACACCAGAATAGATACCTGATTTATTTTTGCAAAATAATGGTTGCAGCATTCTTTCTACTCCAGTAGCCTCTTCACATCTTTTGTGCAGAAATGTCACAATAAAGATTGGCATATCTTCAGTAGCATTTCAAAATATTGGCCTGGAATCACTGAAAACAATAGTATAGTAATTTTTATCTCTTAATTGTGATGGGGGAAAGATAATCCATTTTAATCTTTCACGTCTGTGCACTTATGTTTTTTTAGGTACAGAATTAATGTTCCTCAAAAATGTAATAGTAGTACTGCTTATAAACAACATTGGTGAATAGCTAAAGTTTCTGCTTCTTTTTCACTCCCTTTTCATAGTAAACAGACCACTGAAACAGATATTAGACTGTCTAGATATTCCTGCATTCTGAGCACTGAAGTGAGATGGACGCTTCAAAAGACCATTATCTCCTTTTTTCCTCAGTAAAACCGGTAAGACACGTACTTCTGGAAATAATGGTAGAATTAGATTTTCTTCACAAAGAAATTTGAACTCAAAACCTTTTCAGGTCCTTAATTTTGAGCAGAAAACTTTACTGACAGTCCAACCCGAATTACACATACAATATATAGGACTTCAGGTACTCATTTCATGAAAAATTCATAAATGCAGATTTATTAGGTAAGGATGATCTGTTTAATACCTAGCAGTGGTATATGTCTATCTGAGTCATTACATGTTTTATTATAAACAAGATTTCTTCCTCTTATGTAAATTAGCTGGGCTTCAGTAAAAGAGGAAAGAAAGCCAAATAAAATTGGATGTTGTTGCAGGAGATGTATTGCTCATCAACTGTACCAATCTTTACTCAAAGTATTATGTAACAATGAGTATTACACCATACAAATGTGAAAAGGAAATACAGGGTGATTTCTCTGTAAAACAGAGGCTGATACTTTTTAAGGATTTTTAAGACACTTAAAATCCTGTGGCTGAATCCATAACAAACAAGTATCAAAAACAGTTATTTCTGATCTCCTTGTGTTAAAGCCTCTTTTATCTAGGGGTTGGAATGGTAATAAAGCTGTATAATGGCAGATGCTATGCTATTTTTTGGGAGTTGTGGGGTAAAACCTAATATTTTTAGAATATCCCATTGGATAAAGGACAAATTATTACATCCTAACCTTTGGGAGGAATGCTTTATAATAAAACAAAACTTATTTGCATAATACATGTCTCAGTGTAAAGCTGAGCAATCCTACATATGGTAAATGTGGCAAATCCAGCTTTAAGTAATGTTGCAGAATAGTTCACATTTGTCCATTAATTGCAGAGTAAACCACATTGTTAAATCACATTTTCAAAGAGCTGCATGGAACGCATTATGTTTTCATCCTGTAAGAAGAAAAAAAACACATGTCAGATTATCTTAAGAGTATAGAGAGAAAAAGTGGGTAGAAGTCACTAATGTTAGTTACTGACAGCAGCAACTTGTTCGGAAAAATTAATAAGTGATGATAAAACTTAACACCGAAACTGGTACTGATTTGAGAAAAAAATACCAAAACTATTAATAAATAGTTACTGAAATTAAAAAAATTAAACTGAAAAGAGCATATTCAGTTCATTTGTGTTTTTGTTAATCATTCTGTAAAACAGTCTACACTGTTTTGGAGGTAATCAATTGATCTTTTGATACTCTGTAAAAAATAGTATATAAATATGTGGTAACTTCATATGTCCAGTTTGAGTGCAGTCAATAACTTCCATATATTTGAAATTGTTGCCTGGCACAGTATATTCTCCCCAAAAAACCCTTTGGCATTATAGAGGACTATTTTGTAGATTGAAGAACAATTTAAAACTGAGTCAGCACGTGCATGCATAACTGTGTGAGCTAAGCATCTTGATGATTCTCTCAAATACATTGTTAAAATTGTTGGCTCCTCAGCTCAGATTTTTCCCCACTGGCAGTATGATATAGTGTTCTCTGATTCTACTTCTGTTTGTCGATATTAAATTTAATCCATTTTTATTTAAACTTTTAGAGGTGCCCTTACACAATTATCTTTCTCAGAATCATCAAAATGTACTGGTCATCCCACACTAAATAAATATACATAATAATGATGAAGACTCTCAGCAGTCACAATAAAACTACCCCTTAACGTCCACCTCTCAATACCTAAGAAAATAATTTGGTCGTGTATTTGCCCAAGTTTTGGACCAAAGGAAGAGTGAATTTAAGAGTAGAGAGTATCTTATGAAGAGTGCTACCTCCTAGATCAAGGTAGCTCCAGCTCTTTTTCAACTGTGATCTCTCACGTAATTAGGGCCTAAATCATTCAGGGCTTTCTTAATAGGTTAAAATCCTTGCCTTGAATTCCACCCAGAAGCTTATTGACGATAAACTCTCAGCACTAAACTCCACCTAATAAACTAGCTCATGTTCTTCCCTAGCTCTAGTTTCCAAGTGGTCTCGTCATGTAGTTAATTACCATAAACCAATCTCAAGGTGAGGGTAACTGTAGCAAGGGACACATTGGAGTGAAAATGGTGAACTTGTCTCAGCAAATGCAGTTGGAAGAAAGTGTACTTGACCATGTCCATAACCTGGGTATCTAGGAGCAATCAAGTATCTTCTTAAAACCGCATGGGTTCTGCAGCCGTATTTAACAAATGGCGTTTGTACTCTCTCACTGAAGTATATCTGTATAATCATATGGCTCCTTCCCCCAACCAACCAACATTATCTGTCTTATATGGATTGAATTGCAGCCAATAGCTCCTCCCTCCACTCCCTTCAATAGTTTATTCATTCTACTCCATTAATGAGGTCAGATGTGATAAACAGTAGTAAAATACTTCATAACAAATCCAACAACAAAACCTGTCTTCACATGATGTTCTAAACAGAACCAATAAATACCAATTACCTACCAGGAAAAGATGTCTCTACTACTAGAGTTGTGATGCTGTGTGGAAGGCTGTCCAAATTTTCTCTTTAATAATAGGATAGAACACCAGTCTTCGTAATGGTAGCAAGCACATTTTTTATCCACTGCACTGTACAGCTGTCCCACTTCCTACAGTCTCTTTTCAGGAAAACTTTGGGCCTGACAGCTAAATGTAGATCTAGCTTGTGTTTTAAAAGCTTCTTCAACACTCTTTCTCAGTTCCGAAATAGGAAATGAACAAGTGAATCTGTTCTTAGTGTTCCTATTCCATCAACATTGTGATGTTGCTTTGTACTTCAACTATAAATCAGTGGCCGTTCAAACGAATTTATTCACTCTGAGCTAATAACAATCAGATATCTTGTTAGACAACTGATGATAGTGCTAGTATAGGTGTTTAGGCCAATGCAATTAAATCTAGTGGTACTCTTGACCACAGACTGATATATTGTAATTGTAATCAATGCTATTGGCCTTGGAAGCTACAGGGGTTTTTTTAAGTTAATAACTAGTGTAGAAGACTACTAACTACATTAGTTTCTTCTATGTACAGTTATCCAACTAATACCTAGTTTGCAAGTGTAGCAAACCCAATTACAGTACCAACTCCTAAATTATAGAAAAGTATCAGAAAAACTGCAAAAAGTAACAGAGGGTCCTGTGGCACCTTTAAGACTAACAGAAGTATTGGGAGCATAAGCTTTCGTGGGTAAGAACCTCACTTCTTCTTGCATCTGAAGAAGTGAGGTTCTTACCCACGAAAGCTTATGCTCCCAATACTTCTGTTAGTCTTAAAGGTGCCACAGGACCCTCTGTTACTTTTTACAGATTCAGACTAACACGGCTACCCCTCTGATAGAAAAACTGCATTTCACACTGTATACATATTAATTAACACATTAATCTTGGTGATATGGGCTAATACACACACACACACACACACAACCATTTTTAAATAAAACAAGGACCTGGTACTGGCATTGGCAGCTGAAGGCTGATTTTGATCCTGCTATTCTGAAATAATTGTATTTGAGGACACACTGTGGAAAATGCAGTTACACAGAATAATTTTGCAGAAGAGAATTTCTTAGTTTTTGGTTCATTTATGTATTGTTTTATCTCTAAAATTGATGAATAAAAGATAACAGAGTGAACCTATTGCAAGAAGTAGAAGGAGCACTGAGAAATTCCATTGTTTAATAATAAAGATTAAGTCTGGCTACAGACCGAAGCTAGATGTTGTATACAGTTGGAAATAAAAAAAAAAAAAAAAAGGATTTTTTGGCCAAGAGTGATTAGATGCTTGACGTGTCATCTTCCATGTCGCCACTTGTAATTTTTAGTGTTGGCCTGAACAAAGTGTCCATATCTAACAGAACCATGCTTATCATTAAGCTCTCTTCTGAGTGATCTGAAGCTCATCAAATGTGGGTTTTTAAGGAGTCAGGGGAAGAACAAAATACTGAGAATATCTGCTGATAGTCTTGAAAAGCCAAATTCCAGGCATTGATGCCTAACAGCCATGGCAAGATGTAGGAAATGAGTTCCCGAATTACTGGGTCCCAAAGTACGTAGGGATTTAAAGGTTGTCACTCATGCTATGAATTGGAGATGGACTATAGCTGCCAGTGCCAACATATCTGATTACTCAGAAACAGCAAAGGCTGTAACAGCCTGCTGAAGCCGTGAATCATTCTGGAAAAGAACCACATTATAGCCCTTACTGCACAATCCTCCTCCATTCCTATAGATGAATTTTCCTACCCATCTGCATCATTGCCATCTTGTCCAGACTCCATCTGTAATTTTACACCCAGCCTTATCCAAATCTCAGTTAGGCACTGAGGAAATAGCAGAATTGGCATTCAATGAGAGGGAGACAGATGAATTCCGTCTCCCTACTGGTGATCAGGCTGCCTGAGCAGCCTTCCAAATATACTGAACAAGAGAAGTGACAAGATAAAATCCTACAGCACCCTATATCCGATCTCTCCAGGAAAGAAAACGTACTCAGCAACACTGCAAAGAACACCATCGACACTACGGTCAATGGTATCCAAAGCTTATCAGCCACCATGAGAAGTGCTATTAAGAATAGTACATCATTGACTAGGTCTCTATACCCTTTCACTATCTCCTTGTCTTTTATCCAACAGGAATTTCCCATGGAATATCTAGAGATGCAAGTAAAAAAACTGACAAAGTCCATACCATCTTTTATATTTCCTGTGCAGCTTTTGGGAGACAAGGTGTTTATAAATTGTTGCTCATGGATAGACATGCTTTTCCTAGTCTTGTTTACCTCTTCTCTCATATACCAAAAGGGCAATACATTGACTCTTATAGTTGATTTTCCTAATGTCCTTTCCCCTATCCAAGAAAACCCAAATAGAGCTGGTATGTCCATTGAAATCTACTGTACTTTACTGTATTTATTGGTAGACAGAATTGATGGTTTTAGTTTGTTACAGTTCTTTTCTCAAGAAAATCAATCTGCATGATCTAATCAATTGTTGCTAGCCCTTTTCCCAGTTTGGATCTCAACACTGGATCTAATGTAGTTATGACACCCTCTGTATGTACCATGTTCCTCTAATAGCTTGTAACCTTGTACAGTGTACAAATAACAAGTAGCTTTGGTGTTTTCTGTAATTTTATTATGAAAAAATTAATACTTATTTTTATAAGGCTGTCTTGTCTAAATGTAGACAAGTTCTTAAATAATAGCACATTCAGTTATCCTACAGTGAATAAATGTGAATTCTGGCAGATATTTACCCAGCACAAGGCTCAAATAAATATTCACATAACAAACAATTTATTGTCTACTACATGGTAGCTTTGCACGGGAAGAGAGGATGCAAACACACTAGTAGAATAGGTGAACATTTAGCTTTTCAAAAACTATCACCTCTATGAATACAAATATTGTATATGTTTGCATACGTAACTGACTGTTTTGTAGAACAGTTTGCCAGACACATTTTTTTGTAAAGGTGCCTTAGGAAATGTGGTCCCTGGTGTCTAGAAGTGTAAGCTACATCTTTACACCCAAATCCTAATTGGTAGTACCGTGTGACAACCACTTAGCCAGCTGATAGGAGTAACTAAATCAATTTATCATTACTTACTTTTTGGCAGCTTTCAATGAATTCATCTATGGTAACTACCCCATCTTTATTCTTGTCCATTTTCTGTCCAGAAAAAATAAGAACATTTGCTTAAATCATGGAAAAATCCTACTTAAAATCACTTATTTTATTTATTACTTATTTCAGAGTTACATTGCAGGCTGGTGGCCACCCAGGTCAGGATATCATTTTGCTAGACACTATAAGTACATTACAGTCCCCGCCTCAGAGAGCTTCCAGTCTATAAAAGTCTAGACATGACAGATCAGACAGACAAGTAGGTTGGGATGGGGGCACAGGGAAGATAGAGTAACAAAAATAATAGGATGTGCAAAATTATTTGCCAATCAAAACATGGGATTTTTCTTGTAGACCATCCTTTTTTGTTGTCTTGCCCTACCTGGAAAAATGTTTCCACATGTTGTCTAGGGGCGTCCTCTTTGAGAACAGGATAAGTGCATTTTCCCATCATATCATATATAGCTTTCATAATATCAAGCATTTCCTGAAGAGAAAAACATGTTTATGTAAATGTTTCTTTTGAGCATTTATAGTTTAGAAGAAATATTTAAGACTGTGCCACAGTCAAATTGTGATCGAACAACTTCAGGAATGTAATGCACATGGATCACTTTGAAGTTTAAATTAGCTACTGCAGCTTCCATACGTTCTACAATAGAGAGAAACAGATAAAACATCTTAAGTAACTGAAAACCCTTAAGTAGATGCAGATTTATGCTTCTGAATTTAAATGCTTTATGATATCTAAAAGTCCACTGATATTGTGGAAAGAAAGCTCCTGTGGACCAGTAAGTGGAAACAAACAAACAAAAAATTTGTAGCAGAAGGCAATTGGGCAAAATCACATCGCCTCCTTGTGTGTGAGTTTCCCCAGCTTTTGTAAGGTGCTTTGAGATATGTCGCTGAAAAGTGCTCTATAAGAATGATTACAAACATGTAATTCATCTGCCAGTATGCTGAATAAAATACTGTATTTAAAAAAAAAACAAAAAACTTTATGCAGTGTCTTGCTGAAACTGTTAGTACCAGTATCATTTACAGTAAGCAGATTAGGAGCCTGATCTTGCAAAAACTTATGTGCATGCTCACTTCACATGTGCATTGTCCCATTGACTTTGATGAGTAAAGTTCAGCATGTGTCTAGTCCTTGCAGAATAAGGCCCTTTAGGATATAATAGCATTTTAATACATTCTGTGTTAACAACAAATTATCAGGGATAGATTTTTTTTTTAAAGTGTTCACTTGCATTTCTGGATACATATTTTTATGTACAAATACCTTACCTAGTTCTTGCAATTCTGTGGGCAAATGTAGGTACTCAAAAGCATGCCCATTGTGCCTCTTTCTTAAGAAATTTGGCCAGCTATGTCTTCTATGACTACTAATAAAATCTAAATTTGTGGCTAGTTCTTAACTATCTTTTTTTAAAAAGTTTCTGTAAAATGCATTTATTTTAACCATTTTAAGTTGGTGGGAAGAAAATAAGTTATCTAGTTGTTTGCCACTGAACTCAGTTTTGACAACAGTTTCTCTAAAGCCACATTCCTTTCAAACCAAACTCGAAGAGACATATACATGCTGTGGTTTCAGTTATTGTGGCTACAAAATGAATTCTTACCTCTTTAGTTATGTATCCATCCTTATTTATATCATACAAATTAAAAGCCCAGTTGAGTTTTTCTTGTACTGTCCCTCGGAGTAAAATTGAGAGACCCATAATGAAATCCTAGAAAGAAAACAAAAAAATCTAGGTAGTTTGAAGCTGAGCTATATCTTTCTAAATATGCAACTTTCAAATCCTGGACTCCAATGTGATAAATTCTCCAGTGTAATACCAGGCTGGAAAGAAGGACTGTTGCTTCGTCTTGTTTTGGGAATTAGTAGTAAAGACTGGTTTTTAAAAAAGTCCTTCCAGACTTTTTATGTAGTACTGCTAATTCATGGTGGATTAATATAATACAAGCAACAATCAGTTTTGTAGCCTCCTTCTGTTAATGGATTGAATGCACTATAGTGTATGACTTAACCTTATAAAAAGCTGCATGCAAGCAACTCCTTTTGAAGTCAATGTGGGAAAAACATCACTGCTGTGCACAGGTCCAGAACAAAATCTATGTATGTCTTAAACCCTCAATTTAGGGCTTAACTGGGACTTAAATGGCATATATGACTTATTGTGGAACGCTACATGGGAGTAAATTTCACACACAATAATAAAGGTAATATTCTCAGCTCTTACACCTCTGCAGAGGTTTTCTTCAGAGGCTGGCTGCTCTATAAATTGGAGTGCAAACAAAAAAAGGCAATTCTGAGAAAACTATTCATTAGAGAAACTTAACTTTATTTTTACCCCCTCTATATGAAATACAGAGATGATTGTACATTAAAATATTGTAGAGAGAGTCTACAGAAGTAAAACAACAAAATCTGAATCCATTCCTTTGATACTTGGTGGTAGATAACTCTGACAGAGTAACATAGTCAGCTTTCAAAGAATGAAATTAGTCAGCTACGTTACTTCCCTATAGGCCAACAAGTCTAACGATTAGTACACTCGTGTTACACCAGTGCTAGAACTAGATTTGTGTTTCATAATTAATATGGTTTTATAGCAGCATGACATGAACGTCATTCACACTTTAACAGAGACTTGACAAAAAAGTCAAACAAACTTATTTATTAGTTGTATTTCTTTCATATTTTTATTTAATTTTCAAAGAGACTTGGTGAAACCAGGACTTTATCTTTCCCAGTCCCTTGTCTCCTAGTTACTCCTGACCTGATTTTGTGATATCATAGTCATTGCCATAGAGATTATAACCAAACGTTTTAAAGGCTCAAATTGAAATGGGAATATATCCAACAGCAATAAAGTCCTAGAGTAGCACCAAGCCCATTGGCTACAAAGGTTAAATAATTCTGTATTGACACTGGTCAGGTTTACATGTTTATTCAAGAAAGCAGAGTTGGAAAAAAAGCCAACATTTTGGGGGAAACAGCCAATGGCCTTACAACGAGGGTCTGATGCATTATGTTTTAGTGTTTTGTTTTTTTTCTTCTGTATGGCCAGTACAGTTACCCTTCAAAGTACATATTGAGTACATCTAAGGCTGCAAAGCTCTATTGAAGTCCTGTCTTTCTTGACAGGTTTCAGAGTAGTAGCCGTGTTAGTCTGTATCGGCAAAAAGAACAGGAGTACTTGTGGCACCTTAGAGACTAACAAATTTATTGTAGCATAAGCTTTTGTGGGCTACAGCTCACTTCATCGGATGCATGTAGTGGAAAATACAGAAGGAAGATATATATACACACACAGGGAACATGAAACAATGGGTGTTACTATACACATTATAAGGAGAGTGATCAGCTAAGGTGAGTTGTTGTCAGCAGGAGAGAAAAATAACTGTTTGTAGTGGTAATGAAAATGCCCATTTCCAGCACTTGACAAGGAGATTGGGGGGGGAGGGGGGTGGAAGATAAGCATGGGGAAATAGTTTTACTTTGTGTAATGGCCCATTCACTCCCAGTCTTTATTCAAACCTGATTTAATGGCAAATTAATTCCAATTCAGCAGTCTCTCGTTGGAGTCTGTTTTTGAAGTTTTTTTGTTGTAATATTGTGACTTTTAGGTCTGTAATCGAGTGGCCAGGAAGGCTGAAGTGTTCTCCAACTGATTTTTGAATGTTATAATTCTTGACATCTAATTTGTGTCCATTTATTCTTTTACGTAGAGACTGTCCGGTTTGGCCAATGTACATGGAAGAGGGGCACTGCTGGCACATGATGGCATATATCACATTGGTAGATGTGCAGGTGAATGAGCCTCTGATAGTGTGCCTGATGTGATTAGGTCCTATGATGGTATCCCCTGAATAGTTATGTGGACAGAGTTGGCAATGGGCTTTGTTGCAAGGATAGGTTCTTGGGTTAGTGTTTTTGTTGTGTGGTGTGTAGTTGTTGGTGAGTATTTGCTCCAGGTTTGGGGGCTATCTGTAAGCAAGGACTGGCCTGTCTCCCAAGATCTGTGAGAGTGATGGATCGACCTTCAGGATAGGTTGTAGATCCTTGATGATGCGCTGGAGAGGTTTTAATTGGGGGCTGTAGGTGATGGCTAGTGGCATTCTGTTACTTTCTTTGTTGGGCCTGTCCTGTAGTAGGTGACTTCTGGGTACTCTTCTGGCTCTGTCAATCTGTTTCTTCACTTCAGCAGATGGATATTGTAGTTGTAAGAATGCTTGATAGAGCTCTTGTAGGTGTTTGTCTCTGTCTGAGGGGTTGGAGCAAATGCAATTGTATCGTAGAGCTTGGCTGTAGACAATGGATCGAGTGGTGTGGTGTAGTCTGGATGAAAGCTGGAGGCATGTAGGTAAGTATAGCAGTCAGTAGGTTTAGGGTGGTGTTTATATGGCCATCGTTTATTAAAACTGTAGCGTCCAGGAAGTGGATCTCTTGTGTGGACTGGTCCAGGCTGAGGTTGATGGTGGGATGGAAATTGTTGAAATCATGATGGAATTCCTCAAGGGCTTCTTTTCCATGGGTCCAGATGATGAAGATGTCATCAATGTAGTGCAAGTAAAGTAGGGGTGTTAGGGGACGAGAGCTGAGGAAGCGATGTTCTAAGTCAGCCATAAAAATGTTGGCATACTGTGGGGCCATGTGGGTACCCATAGCAATGCCGCTGATTTGAAGGTACACATTGTCCCCAAATGTGAAATAGTTATGGGTGAGGACAAAGTTACGAAGTTCAGCCACCCAGGTTTGCCGTGACATTATCGGGGATACTATTCCTGATGGCTTGTAGTCCATCTTTGTGTGGAGTGTTGGTGTAGAGGGCTTCTACATCCAGAGTGGCTTTCTTTTCAGGAAGATCACTAATGGATTGTAGTTTCCTCAGGAAGTCAGTGGTGTCTCAAAGATAGCTAGGAGTGCTGGTAGCATAGGGCCTGAGGATGGAGTCTACATAGCCAGACAATCCTGCTGTTAGGGTGCCAATGCCTGAGATGATGGGGCGTCCAGGATTTCCAGGTTTATGGATCTTGGGTAGCAGATAGAACACCCCTGCTCGAGGTTCTAGGGGTGTGTCTGTTCGGATTTGCTCTTGTGCTTTTTCAGGGAGTTTCTTGAGTAGATGGTGTAGTTTCTTTTGGTAACCCTCAGTGGGATCAGAAGGTAATGGCTTGTAGAATGTGGTGTTAGGCTTTAAGGTGCCACAAGTACTCCTATTCTTTTTGTCTTTCTTGACTAGTTGGTTTAGTGTACCCTGGGGCTTGCTGATTTCCTCATAGTTTCCAGTATTAGTACACTTGCCTCATGATGCATTTTAAAGTTATGAATCCTGAAAAACATTTTACTGAACTTACTTATAGTTTCAGCAACTCAGGGCTATATCTCTACATGGCTCTTTGAAGGCATCCTGCCAAATATTAAACCATTATGCTTCAGGAAATTCAGAACAGATTTGCTCATATAATTTTAACAATCATCATTCCCATTTCTCTGTGTGCTAAATCTTGATGGATCTTTTCCTGAACTCTGCTACGCCTAATGCTGTATTGTCAGCTTTCATGCTGGCATTTAATTCATTGCTCTGCTCTTCTCCATTGAGCAGTTCTCTCCTGTTTACTCCCCATACTATCCCTTTCTGGTGCTCCACCATTCCCTTGTTTGCTCCCCTTCACCGTCTGTATTCTGTACTCAAGGTACACTTCCTCAGAGGCCAAGCAGAAGCATGGATGATGACCAAATTAGCTAGCCATTTTGGGAGAGGCAGAAAAATGTTCCTCTTGCTTTATCTTCTCATCTTAAAACTTGAGCATTCGAGGCTTAAGGGTATATTTTGGAGCACCTCCTGCATGGAGCTGAGTGCACATTGACCTCACGGGTGTTGAAAAGACTCAGCTCTCAGGATGTGCTCCACATCTTGCAAGATCAGCCCCTGGCTTGGCCTCATATTTTCAGCTCTAATACCAATGGGAATAGTAGACACTACTGTGAAAGTAAATTGGGTTTTTTTGGTTGAATGTTTGCCTTGCTCTAAGGTGTAAGTTCATCTCTGAAGTGCTAATATGGACCAACTCTGATAGAAAGTTGTGACGTGTTGAATAAGAACCCCCATGCTGAGTTTTTTGCTATGTATATGCTTTCATTTCAGACGGACACAACACAGCAATCAAAGTCTAGAGGGATGAAAAAGCTGATTAATCTTTTCCATTAAAACAAGTATAATTTATCTTTAATATCGTACATTTTTAGCCCGCTCATGCCAAACATCACTGTGTATATTATTTATTTATGTAGATTTCAGTCTAAAAACTTACAAATGTGAGGATGCCTATCCAAACTCTGGGTGCCCTTGACATACATAATATATACGTTCAAAATATAAATCACCTAAAACAGCAGCATTTCTTCTGCCTGACCTTTCATCCATCATTTGTTCATGGGGGCCAATCCAGTTTAAAATTATTTCCTATTATTTTTATTTAAATTGTGTGTGTGCAATTTAGTGCTTTGGGAAGCAACCAAGTTATGAGTGCTGGAACCTGAAATCCATTATTTATCCACATAAGGTGGAATACAGGCACCCATGTAGCTCACCTGTGCCCTTGAGAAACTCTTTTGGTAAGAAGAAAATATCTCTCTCTGCCTCCTTGGGTTTTCAATTAGTGCCCACCCCATAGTAGCTAAGAGCACTGTCACCATGCTAAAACTATCAGCAAAAGTGCC